TCTTTGACTTTCTACAACTTTCTCCCATCTCCCGACTGCATCTCTGGAGCTCAGCCACAGTCATCTTTGGGTTCTTCTGTATCTCTCTCACCAAGGCTCTTCTCCCCTGATAGCTCAGTTTGGCCGGACGGCCAGCTCTAGGAAGGGTTCTGGTCGTCCCAAATGTCTTCCATTTAAGGATTATGGAGGCCACTGTGCTCTTTGGAACCTTAAGTGCAGCAGAAATTTTTTTTTGTAACCTTGGCCAGATCTGTGCCTTGCCACAATTCTGTCTGAGCTCTTCAGGCAGTTCCTTTGACCTCATGATTCTCATTTGCTCTGACATGCACTGTGAGCTGTAGGGTCTTATATAGACAGGTGTGTGGCTTTCCTAATCACATCCAATCAGTATAATCAAACACAGCTGGACTCAAATGAAGGTGTAGAACCATCTCAGGGATGATCAGAAGAAATGGACAGCACCTAAGTTAAATATATGAGTGTCACAGCAAAGGGTCTGAATACTTATGACCATGTGGTTTTTCAGTTTTTCTTTTTTAATCTGCAAAAATTCTGTGTTTTTCTGTCAATATAGGGTGCTGTGTAATACATCAATGAGGAAAAAAAATGAACTTAAATGATTTTAGCATATGGCTGCAATATAACAAAAAGTGAAAAATGTAAGGGGGTCTGAATACTTTCCGTACCCACTGTATCTGGTAATTCAATTACTGCAAACTAAAGCCTGCTACTGTACAGTTTAGAAGTGATGCAGCTGTGGATATGCAAATGATGTGAAATAAACACATTTCGTGGAGCAGTCTGTCAGCATAACACCGCTGCTGTAAGTTTTAATGGCAAAGCAAGTTTATTTATATAGCACATTTTCATACACAAAGGAAACTCAAAGGGCCTAACACAATGCACAAAATCATACCTGCAGAATGCAATTTTCTTTATAAAAGAGTAATATTATAGGATTTTACATATCTCTGCTGATCAGTGGGTTAAAGGGTACCTTATGATGTCTTCATATTAGTATATTGCTTTCACGCGTCTCCCCCTGGAACCCTTGGCTGGACTTTGTTTTTACTCTGTGCATGAAGCCGTTAAACAATAACTGAGTGTCAAGGGAACAATAAACGTCTGCATCTTCTCAAGTTGTATGGCAGTGTGCAGGCCTAGCCGCACTGTGTGAGCTGTGAATAAACTCTTCAGTGTGGAAAAATCAGATTTATAAAAACGATTCCGTGGCTCCCAGCAGGACAGCGTCATTAAGTGACACACAGTGGGCTCTGCTGCCGGTAATGCTCCCCCTGTTTAATAGAAGATTTTTTTAGGAGCCTTAAAAAAGAGCCGCGACTGAACGAGCTGCTGATAAATAAGCTTCCTACGATGATCGCGGTGGTCAGGGAAGTAACAAAGACAAAAAAGACTTCCTGCTACACCTTCATCTTCAGGTCTGATCTAAAAGCATCCTAAATACCGAATCGTTTTAACCAAACATCGTGCATGTACATCTCCCTGCGCTGCTCCGTGTCCTGCACAAAGCGCTCTGGAGCATCGAACGCATATCTGTATGGAAATCATGCACAAAGCGAACAAAGCCTTACCCAAAAACCGTATCGGTCCTCAGTGGATGCTGCTGCTGTCCGGCGGCCAATTTTGCTCCGGTTCGCCTTGTTGCGCGGCGAACACGCGGCTCGATGCGGCTCGCCTTACCGCTCCGTTCACGGTGAAAATACCCACCGCTACGCTTACCGGAACGTCGGGGATGGGGTGTCTGCTACATTGCTGCTGGCCTTTTATCTCCCATCCACGTCTGAAATTGGGGGGCGGAGTCAGCGAGGGCGGTGATTTTCGCAGCGACTTGTTGGCCCTAGAGGAAGGATCAAGGAAAGGGAGCAAGAGAAGGGGGAAAGTGGGTTTAATTTATTACATTGGAAGCAGAAGGTGTGTCAGGAGAGAAGGAGGGAAAGATACTTAGGCAATTGGTCTGATGGGAAGATTAATACCAGTAACTGTTCATTATGTTTACATTAGGTTAGTATACGAAATCAATTAAACATAAAGTTAAACCAGAACTTCAGGTTTTATTAGAGAAGTGAGGACACCTCATGCACAATCCATTTGACAGTTGTAACTGTGCTATAGGCTAACTAAAAATCCAGACTAGGAACAGAGCCTTTATCAACAGTATGCTGCAACACTATATGTCTTTAGATAAAGAGACATGCTTTTTGAAAAGTGATTTACTATCTATACGTTTTTAGTGGCTTAAACACAGAAGGGATCAGCATGAATGTATTATGAGACTGAATAAGTCACACGACTCAACCCTTGAGCCTGTTTTTCCCAGCAGCCACTGGTGGTACTGCAACAAAAAAATCCCCCTGAAACCCAAAAAGCATTTTCTCCATAGACCTTTATGATAAAAGAGACATCTGTGAAACTGTTGACAGGACACATCAAACTGCCAACCTGGTCAATTATCACTCTTTGTATTATGAAATTTTAATGGAGATGCAGTGAAAGTGAGTTTTATTTTTGTGATGTCTTCCCAGTGTAAAATCTATGGGTCGAGTGGGAGGGTGTGAGTGGGTGCTGCAGGGAGGAAACATTAATGTGCATATGCAGTGGACACCTTAATGTAGAAGCAAAGCTGGAAGCTAGAAAACTTTTTTGGCTCATATGCCAGGTGAGCAATTTCCATTCAACTGGCTGGGCGCCTTCAATGAGTCCTGGATCCAGTTCTCCTTAATACATCCAAGACAGTCATGGCCAGTTCAGACTGTAATAACAACAAGAGAGAGAGGACTAAATGCTGTAGATGGTTTTAGTTAGCACAGAGGATCAAAGAAGACTCACTTTCTTATAGCAGCTACTGGATGGTAATCATAAAAGCTGTAAAGTAAATGGTAAAGGGACTCCTCTTATGTACTTTTTCTATTTGACAAAGCAAACCCCAGAATGTTTTTCAGAAGGGCTGATGAAAGAGATGCTGAATAAGAGATTGCACTGAGTTACAGAAACTAGTGGCGAAGACGCTAGCCCAGACGTGTCATCATGACTTTGGCTCATAACAGCCTGCTGGTTGTAGCCTTATATTTACCAAACATAAAAGAGAATGGTTTCCATCTTCTCTTCTAACTCCAAGAGGCAACGAGCAGCCAAGTGCAATGCCACTGAAGATCTCTAGATGCTGGATCCAAAAAAAAAACCTGGCTACTAAGTCAGTATTTTTCCCAGGAGACATTATGACCATTTAATATGTGGACCAGTGGTAATTTGGGAAGTTATTACTCCGTTAATAAGATTTTAAGGCTTATAGAAGGCTTTCATACTTGCGTGTGGGCATTGACTGAGAGGTGTAATTGACAATTTGACTGCCTGCTGCTGCTCTACAGCTCCTGGACTTGCACTGAGTCGGAGGGGCACAGCTTCTGTTCATACTGTATAATAAGCAGTATTTTATTTAGACTCACAGTTCTACTGTAGCTGTGCTTAAGGAGTTACATTCATAAGACTGTCAAGGAATGCTTTTACATAATGTTTCATTAAATTTAACGTTACTTGATTATGATACCTGGTCTGTTAGAATAGTGTACTTAAATAAGCTAACACTGGCATTAAGGCGGGGCCCAAATTAGAGGATTTTATAATCTTAACCAATTTTAAAAACATGAGAGATCACAGACATAATGACAGCTTTAACAGATTTTTTTTCACATTTTAATCTTAAGAGCACACACACTAGATTAAAATCTGACAGGGAGGCAAATGGCAACAGTATCAACTTGACAAAGTGTCGGTGTTTGTGTGTGTATGCTTGTGTGGGTGGTTGGGTTAAAATAAAACCAATGCAGTGCAACAATGTATAACATGGTACAACTGAGCAATCAACCATTACTGGCCTTTGGACAGAACAAAAAAGCGTGTAACAGATATCTATTGAAATATGACTGTTTGTCTGCATAACATATGAATGTGTGTGCGTGAGAGAGAGAAGGAGAGAGAGAGAGAGACATAGCTGTTATTGTGCAGTGCTGGGATCCGCCAGTGTAATGCAGGTCGTGCGTTTGTGCGCTGCTTTCTTAATTGCCTCATCAGTAAATGCCACACGTTCAAATGGCTCCACTATCTAGATTTATTTATTCATTTGTGTGCCATCAGATGCAGGCACCGCTCCTGCATGCTGCAATTACTGCTGCACAGCCAAAAGTGCCAGTGAATAATAAATCACAACACAAAGAGATCTAACCAGCTGTCTGTGAACCATGAGACCAACTGGATAGTTAAACTTGAAGTAAATGGTGTTTACAGCAGAACCATTGTCTTTAACCTTTGAAACTCTGAAGGATGTACAGATGCTCTCTCAGAGGACAGAGGAAGGATGCATAGCGGTGGAAAACTTGCTACAGTAAATATTACCCAGAAAGAATCATGCACACACATTCACACATATATATTCGGATACACATGCATATGGATCAGGGCGTTTGCACAGATACTCAAAATGTTGCCTTGATATAATGCAACCTGAGGCACTGGCTCCATTGCACACATGCTGTTCTCTTCAAAGTGAAGCTCAATAATGGGGCGTTTGGAGGCAGATGACTCACACAATACTCATTGGTGTGCTCAGACTGTGACTGAAAAAGGAGCATGTGAGTGGGCTGTGGGAAATGTGTTTCTGGCTCAGAGCAATATGTTAAGACCTCTGTACTGATATATCTCTTACAGTCGTGCCAGCAGCCCTCCCCAGCGGGTCAGCCGCCCTTTGTTGTACACCAGACTCAGGTGCTCATCACTGTCCAGGTGTGTGTCTGTCAGCACACGTAATTATACTGCAGCTTTTGTAGTGGCTGACGGAGAAAGAATTTTTGCACTGAGTGAGAGAGTCAACATCTTCATCAGTTGATGATTCACGTGTAAGACATGGAAATAAAGGAGCTGAATTGTTAGCTAGTAGTTAGCCCTCTGGTTATAGTAGTCAGGGTTTTCTCCTCCATAAAAAGGCAGAGCACCCAAGCCAAATAAATGTAAAAGGCCAGTGGTGCCTGCAGGATTAAATTCTATAGTATGCATAAGAACCACCTATGGCAGCATATTGCTGCCACCATAAGAGAAAAATGTTTGCTAAAATCATTATAACGAGAAACATAATAGAGATCCCTTCACATTAATACGATATTTTTCTTGTATTACGACATACTGTATTTTCCCGTTATGACATACAGTAGGCTACTGGAGTGAATCACAGCAGTGCACACACAGGACCTGCTTAGCTCATTCATAGCTTAGCGATGACCAGCATTGCTTTTAGAAGGTACACTCCAGCTGGTCCTTGAGAACCACTGATCTGACACTTAAATCCATGCACAATAATTAGACCACAGAATAACACATAAATGCAGGTCATGAGCCATGATAAACAGAAAATACCCTGCACATGTCCTGATGACATTACAGGCAGTGACAGCAGGGAAGATCAGTGTGTGTGCTTCTGTCACTCACTCCAAAGGAGTGACAGCAGTGTGTTAGGGGCTAGGCTATATGATATCATATTAGATATAGCTCCTCAGGCCATACATGTGAAACTATATTTCTATATAGGTTATAGACTATGCTATACAGTATGTTGATCATGCAATGACTGCCACACAAAAAATTGAGCAAAATAATAAAAAAAAAAATATAGGCATGGTGTGTACAGGATTATGATATATCAGAATGAATGCAAAAACAACGGTGAGCTATACACACTGAAAAAAGAGATGTGACTTGATCTCAGAGTTCAAATTCAAATTTTATTTATATAGCACCAAATCACAACAGATGTCATCTCAAGACACTTTACAAAGTAAGGTCTAGACCAGGGGTGGCCAATTCCAGTCCTCGAGGGCCGCTGTCCTGCTTGTTTTCCAACTATCCCTGCCTGACCTGCTGCTGATTACCTGGCTCAGGTGTGTTCAGTCAGTCAGAAGCTGGAAGATACCAATTCACTGTATCTTTCCTCATTCCACTTTTATATAAGATGGTATCTTCTAGCTTCTGACTGGCTGACTGAAGGTCTAAAGGAAGAGAGGGTGTCTGCCTCCCGAACTGAGACTGAGAGTTGTTCCATAGGAGAGGAGCTTGATAGCTAAAGGCTCTGCTTCCCATTCTACTTCTGTGGACTCTAGGAACCACAAGTAAACCTGCACTCTGAGAGCGAAGTGCTCTGTTAGGATGATAAGGCTCTATGAGGTCTTTAAGATATGATGGAGCCTTGTCATTAAGGGCTTTGTATGTTAGGAGAAGGATTTTAAATTCTATTCTGAATTTTACAGGGAGCCAGTGGAGAGAAGCTAATATGGGAGAGATATGATCTCTCTTGCTAGTTCCTGTCAGTACTCTGGCTGCAGCATTTTGGATTAACTGGAGGGAATTATTGGGACATCCTGATAGTAAAGAGTTACAGTAGTCCAGCCTGGAAGTAACAAATGCATGGACCAGTTTTTCAGCATCAGCATCCAGGCCTATATGTCTTTAAGACATGCTTGAAGTTTGACTAACTGATCTGATTCATCTGGGTTCATAAATAAATATAACTATCATTTTGAGACAGGATGCTCCTGATTTTTTCAATATTGCACAGGTGAAGGCAGTTCTGGAAGCTTGGTTTATGTGTGATTTAAAGGACATATCTGGGTCAAAATTGACTCCAAGGTTCCTCACAGTAGTACTGAAGGCCAGAGCTACAGTATGTCATCTAGAGTAGTTATATGGTTAGACAACAAATTTCTAAGGTTTTCAGGCCCAAGTACAATAACTTCAGTTTTGTCAGAGTTTA